CAATAGACCCCAGTGTGTAGTGCTCCCCTCCCTGTGTCTATATGTTCTCATTGTTCATCACCCGCCTATGAGTGAAAACATGCGGTATTTCATTTTCTGTTCTCAAACAAGACTTTTTTACATCCCTAAGATAAAAGATAAATGGTTTTTCTTCTCTTACACAGTCAACACAACACGCTGCTGAGGCCAGATGTGTTTTGTTTCCCCCACACGCCAAGCAATTGTCCAGTGACTACCAACCAGGTATCCTATAATCTAGCTCCATTATGACACCATCTACTGGAAGCTAGGGTCAGATCCCACAGGTTAATAATGGTTTGGTCCCCCAAGACTGCTTCCCATTTTAGATGCTAATTGAAAGCCCCAGGTTACTACCTGTGCTTCTGACTTTCTGGCTCTAATTTTGGGGTTTTCACGACTCCCTTCTCAGGTTCTATTAATGTGCTAGAGTGGCTCACAGAACTCATGGCAACACTTACTTATGTTTATCCATTTATTACAAAGGATATTACCAAGGATACAGATGAACAGTCAGATGGAAGAAATGCTTAGGGCAAGGTATGTAGGAAGGGGCGTGGAGTTTCCATGTCCTGTCCAAGTGTGCCACCTTCCAAGTACCACCACACATTCAGCAATCCAGAAGCTCTCCCAACCCTGTCCTTTAGGGTTTCGCAAGGGGGCTTCATCACATCCGCATGATCGATTACATCATTGACTATTGGTGCCCAACTCAACCTTCAGGCCATTTCTCCTCTCTAGAGTCCAGGGGGTGGGACTGGAAGTTCCAACCTTCTGATCAAAGGGTTGGTTCCCCTGGCAATCCACCCCCAACCTGAGGCCATCCAGGAGCCCACCAAGAGCTACCTCATTAGAATAAATTAGTCCTATCACCCAGGAAATTCCAAGGGATTTGGGAGTTCTGTGTCAGAAACTAGAGTCAAAGACAAAACATCAAAACAAAAGGTTCTCCTAACACCCAATCTACAAGGGTGTCAGGAGCTCTGTCTCGGGAACCAGAGGCAGAGGCCAAATATTTATTTCTTATTACATCACAATATTACACCTAAGGTATGTGGTAGAAGCTTCAGTTATTGCTGCTTCCCTGGAAAGTTTACACACCTCCCAAATTTGCCCTTCCTCCTCCCTTTGGTTTTGGCTTTTGTTTTTGAGATGGGGGTCTCACTATGTTGCCCAGCCTGGTCTTCAACTCCCAGCCTCAAGTGATCCTCTCACCTCAGCCTCCTGAGTTAGCTTGGATTACAGGGTTGAACTGCCACACCCAGCTCTTTTCTTCTCTCCTTGAGATCAGGCTCATGGTCACTTAATCTGATGCTCTGTGGAATTTGGTGGAACGTCCTTAGCAGCAAAAACAGTTGACTATGACGAAGTTTGGGTATGAGGCAAATGTATGACAAATATGACATTCTCAGATGACCTGGTAATCCAGTGGAGCTTCACGTTACTCAGGGGTGAGGTTCTCATGTCAGGGCACAAGGTGAGCTTTGTGTATAATCAAACTTGGTCTTGGAAGTATCCATAGGATAGCACCCTATTGGAGACTTGCACATGGTATCTTGATCAGCCAGTTGAATGTTTCCAGTGTTGGAAGAGGTAACCGTTCCTTGGGTTGAGAGCCAGCTGAAGTATGTAGCTGGGTTTAGGGTTCATGGCCTCTCTTTAAACACTGGAACCACAATCTGGGCTCACATAGGAGGAATAGACATGATATCCCCATCCATACTCATGACCATTGAGCCAGAAATGGTAGCCGGAAACTCCAGCTCTATTTAAACAGCTTCTCTTTTTTCTTTTTGAGGAACATAAATAGTTGATCTGCCATAAATTAAGTGCACATACAATGCAACTTCCCTGAATGTATACCTCTGAGTGGTCTTGTTGAGGTATAAACATCCAGGTACACAAGCTGTGTGTTAAAAATGCTCATTTGCCACTCTTAACAACAGCCTTTGTGCTCCAAGGTTTTCATTAAGGAAAAACTTGATGTTTAAACAGGAGTAAGGGTCCCATGACTGTGTCTCATTAGCAGGCACAGAGTTAGAAGATACTAATCCATTCTGCACTGGGAAAGCTTCTCTCCCATAAGCAAATTGAAATGAATCCTTTCCTGGGCTCAAAATATTCTTCAATTGAATCAGAACTGGAAGGAGGCATACATATTAAGGTGGACATGAAGCAAGAACTTGATCTTTTTTGCAAAAGCGTAAAAGCAAATCCCTCTTCTTTTCTGCATTGTTGGCTGGGGAAAGGCTTTCTGGGAATTGTTTTGCTCAGAGAATTTTTGTGATTCCATAATGAAAAATGGGAATCATTACCTATTTCCAGAAGCTTAGAAGGGTCTTTCTCTGTTGGTTCAGGTAAGTTGAGATGCAGACAAATCTGACCAAGGTTGCCAGCAACAGTGGAAGGATTTTTGCTTTGAAAAGGATATAAGCTAGCAGCACACTGATGAAGGAATCAGAATGAACATTAAAAAGATGCTCAACCTCACTGGTAATCAAGAAAGCACAAATTAAAGCTGCTAGATTGCAGCAATTAAAAAGATGGGTAATATCAAGGTTGGCAGGAATGTGAAAAATTGGACACTATACCGGTGGTGAAAGAGAAAATTGGGACAGTCTTTTGGAAAGTCAATTTGGATGTATCTAATAAACTTCAAAATGCTGCACCCACCAATCCAGCAATTCTACTTCTCAGTATCCACCTTAGAGACAGGCGCACAAAAATGCATGCAACAGAGTAATGCTTCACCCTAGCTACATGTTAGAATCACCTGAGGGGGCTTTAAAAATATGCCAATGCCACTGGGCACTGTGGTTCATTTTTGTAATCCCAGCACTTTGGGAGGCAGAGACCAGATGATCACTAGACCTCAGGAGTTGGAGGCCAGCCTGGGCAACATAACAAGATCTTATCTCTAGTGAAAAAAAAAAAAGTTTAATTATCTGGGCTTGGTGGCATGCACCTGTAGTCCCAGCTACTTGGGGAGCTTAGGTGCAAGGCTGGCTTGAGCCAAGAGGTCGAGGCTGCAGTCCACTGTAACTGTGCCACTGCACTCCAGCCTGGGTACCAGCACAAGATTCTGTCTCAAAACATTAAAACAAAAAAATTTAAAAAACAATGCTCAGAGCCCACCCTGGACCAATTAAATTAGAATCTCCATTAATAGGGCCAGGCATTGGTGGATTGCAGGGCTCTCTGGGTCATTCTAATGTGCAGCCAGGGTTGTGAACCGCAAATGTGCAATGATGTTCATTGCAGCTTTGTCTGTAATAGGGGAAACCTTGGAACAACCTAAATGTCCATCAATAGGCAGGTTAAATTATTAGTGATGTATTCATACGATGTTATACCACACGGCACTTTAAACATGGGGACAGGGCCAGGTGCCCTGGTTCACACCTGTAATCCCAGCACTTTGGGGGGCCGAGGCAGGAGAATCACTTGAGCCCAGGAGTTCAAGACCAGCCTGGGCGATATAGTAAGAGATCCTGTCTCTATTTTTTTTTAAAGTATAAACATGAAGACATCCTTTTTTTTTGAGACAGAGTCTTGCTCTGCTGCCCAGGCTGGAGTGCAGTGGCACAATCTTGGCTCACTACAACCTCCACCTCCCAGGTTCAAGCAATCCTCCTGCCTCAGACCCCCTAGTAGCTGGGATTACAGTTAATGCCACCATGCCTGGCTTATTTTTGTATTTTTAGTAGAGACGGGGTTTCGCCATGTTGACCAGGCTGGTCTCAAACTCCTGACCTCAGGTGATCTGCCCACCTCAAACTCCCAAAATGCTGGGATTACAGGCATGAGCCACCATGCCTGGCCAACATCCTTCTTACTATGGCTTTATAAACCCAATATAATCTGGCTGCCACCTCCCCACCCTCCTCTCCCACTTCTCACTCCCTCTCTCTCCCTTTTACTCCCTCCACTCAGCCACATCAGTCTTCTCTCTGAGGTACACATGCATATTCCTGCCTCAGGTCCTTTGCACTTGCCGTTCCCTCTGCCTGGAACTCTCTTCCTCCTAAAAGCCACACAGCTGGTTCCCATCTCTCCTTCTGGCACTTGTTCATATGTTACCTTAACAAAGAGGCTCTCCCTCAGTTTTACTTTTCTTCCTTACCACTCTCTGACAAATTATATATCTATGGTCTATTTCCCCCTACTGGCATGAGAACTCCAGGAACATTTTCATTTCTATTATTACCCTTAATAATAGAGCATGGCCCTTAAAGGTGCTTACTTACAAGCTAGACTGCTGGAGTTTCACTCCAGGTGCTTCCTCTAAGCAGCTGTGTGCCCTGGGGTATATCTTTTAAGCAGTCTGTGCCTCTGTTTTCTCATACATAAAATGGAAATAACAGTGCCTACTTCATAGGGCTGCCAGGGTTAAATTGCACCAAGTACAGTGCCTGGCACACCTTACTCTCTGGGTAACTGTTGGGTGCTGTTACTGTCATCAACATCTAGAGCAGTGCCCGGCATGTAAATATGCACTGAATAAATAAATGAGTAAAACAAAAAAAGAAATTGTAGCACGATCCCATTATGTAAACACATACCCATGATGAGTATAGAATTTCTAAATGCTTACTGATCAGTTTCCATGCAGAGAAAAACACCTGGAGAACACACACCAAACTGCTAAGAGTGCTGCCATACTGACCCCCAGGGAGGAGAGTGAGGTTCAGACATGCTCAAGAGGCGTTTTGCCGTATTTATTTTCTTTGTTTGTTTCTTTGTTTGTGTGTGTGTGTTTTTGGCATTTATCACATGTAAGATAAAATACGTTTTCCAAATAGAATATGTTTTCCAAAAGGAAGCCCTTGCTTAGAGTCAGAAGTGTGCAGGAGGGCTTGTACATGTCAGCACGTGTTTAACCGGAATAATCGCCATCAAATAAGGAAGCCATCGAGCTGGGAAAGCCAACCATGGAAGCTCAGCCCATGGTCTCTCTCTCTTTCTCTCTCTGTCCAATACAGTGCCTGAGGAACCAGCGGTTGGTCAGTGGGCTGTGAGCATGGAGGATGGACCTCATCCACACACACCCCAAAGGAGTTTCTGAGGAATGGATCCTTGACTTCAGACTGTGAGATCTTTTCCTCCAGGACTCTCCAGAGGCAGGTCCCTGGCAAATGAACAAGAAAAAAAAAAAGAAGTCCAAAATTTTAGGAAATCCAAGCTGCACAGCCGGATCAGCCAACGTCATTGATTTGTAAAAATGAAAAGAAAACAGAAAAAAGAAAAATGAAATCTCACTGTCTCAGTTTAGCGAATCCCGTGGTGTCAACTCCTGTCCTCCAGAGGCAAGCCTCAGGAAATCACATAACTTTTCACTGGGGTGATCCAAGGGGTCTCCATATAGGGGGAGAGGGAAGTTTCTAGAAGATCAGCAAGTGCTGGTTTTTACAATTTCGAGCACAAACATTTGCAGCATGTTTAAAATTGTCTAGTAGAGCTCAAGTTGTGGATTTGCTTTTCCTTTTGTTCTGACATGTTGTAGCCTCACTTCAGCCTTCAGTAACTCCTCCTCTGGGAGTCAGCACTCCCATGCCCAGAATTCACCCATCTGGTTACCAAAGACTCAGAGAAGAGGCTTTTCTGGCCTTTTGTCTTATCCTTACCCCTCTCTTGCTTGCACCCACATTGGTCAACTTGACCACAACTTCAGTCTTCACTCAAACAGACTCTGAGAATGGACTTCGTGGCCAATTCTAGGCACATGAGCACCTTCTTCATCCCAGTGTCGGAAATACACTGGACGTATTTATACGATGTACTTTTTTTTCCAATCTCTCTCTCTCTCTCTCTCTCTCTCTCTCTCTCTCTCTCTCTCTCTCTCTCTCTCCTCTCTTTCTCTAGAAAGTCTCAGGCAAGAGATCTTTCATTTTCCTGGATGCCACTTGGAAATGCCACCCATTGTATTTCTTTTCTGTCAAATGTAAACCCTTTGGATGTGAATGTACTGATTTAATGATGCCATTATTCTGCCTGCCAGAACACAGTAACCCCAAGTCTGCAAAGCATAAGGGCTGTGCCACTGGGGGTACACAAGATCACTTTTCAGTAGTTCGAGGAACGACTTTAATTAATACCAAATCCCGAAGAATGTTGCCCCTGTCCTATTCTTTTTTCATCCTGATTACAGCAAGAAGAAAGCCTCTGTTTAGTGCTAGCCAATCCTTAACACCTTGTGCGACACAATGGCTCTTTTCCCTTTTTAACAAAGAGCAGGCCTCAGGTTTAGAGTCTTCTGTCTAGATAGAATTTAATGCTATTGTTTTGTGTCATGGTATTTATTTTATCTATTACCTTCCATCTACAGCCTCCCACAGTGGGGGATGTGATATATTGTTTCTGTTCAAATACATTAAGAAAAATAGGGGAACTCAAGTAATTAACACACCAGATAGGTATGTGTGGCAAAAGTCACTTCAAAGAATTAATGTTAGAAACAGGGTGATAATGAAGCAAAAGAAAGGCAGATTATTCTGGCCAGGCATGGTCGCTCACGCCTGTAATCCCAGCACTTCGGGAGGCCAAGGTGGGTGGATCACTTGAGATCAGGAGTTCAAGACCATCCTGGCCAACGTGGTGAAACTCCATCTCAACTAAAAATACAAAAATTAGCCAGGCATGGTGGTACATGCCTATAATCGCAGCTACTCAGGTAGCTGAGGCATCAGAATCACTTGAATCTGGAAAGCAGAGGTTGCTGTGGGCCAAGACTGCACCACTGCAATCCAGCCTTGGTGACAGAGCAAGAAAAAAAGAAAAGCAGATTATTCTAATTGAATGAATAAATGAATAAGAGGCGGAGAGTCAAAATACCTGAGTTCCAATGCCCTTTTGCTTTTGCAGGGGTGGTTTTGGCCACTAACTACCTATGCAAGCTGATTTTAGGCAAGTTCCTTAGCCTTTCTGTGCCTAAAATTTCTTCACCTGAAAAATGGGGATAAGAATGCCTGCCTACTTACCTCACAGTGTTGTTATGAAAATTAATTGCCATAATAGATGTGAACAACCCTGGAAGGATGAGGGATTCTAAGTTCTATACCAATACAAACCATTGTTCTTAGATAATGGGGAATTTCAGCATTTTTTCATATACAGAACCCTAGCAAAAAAATAAAAGCTGATGAACATCAGAACTGTCATTTGACCCGGATGTCGTGATGAGCCAGCACTTGTCCCAGGAGGACACTGAATCAGGGACACGAAATCTCAGCACACAGAGATGCTAGCATCATTCCAATAGATTGACTCTTCTGTTTCTGACATTCTGTCTTTTGTTTGTATGTGTTTTGGTCCCTGGCCTTTTACCCAAATCAAATGAAACGTGTTGCTGAGAGGCAGAATAAAAATGGTTTTAAGGAAGCCTGTGTACCACAGTGTGTGGATTGTGTTTTCTTGGGGTTCCCCACCTTCCAGAGATTTTTGTAACCAAAATAAACTCATCTATTCCAGCCTCAGTCCCCAGGGAAGACTCCAGAGAGGCCAGGGGTGGCGCTAGAGAGGCATCACTCACAACTAATTTATGGCAAGAAATGTCCTCTTATGAGGCACTGAAAATGTTGGTCCCATTAAAGTGAAAGTAAAATAAAATAAATCCTGTCATTAAATGAGATCGTTGGGGACAAAAGGGCCTTGACTTTTGTTGGGCATCTCCTAGGTCCTAAGCTCTAAGTGCAAGAAAATGGTCTTTGTTGGGATGATGGGCTTGTCCAGAGCTTCCTCCAAATCCAAGATTGCCCCTGCCCCACTCGCAAAAGTGCAGTATAAAAACGGATTGGTGTATTGTATCAGCCAAGGGACTCTTTCATCAGCTAGTTACAAAAACTGGCTAAACAGAGCAAAAAGTAGAGTTTACTGCTCATAAAATGGAAAAATTCCAGGGATTGCTTCAAGTGCAGGTGGATCCAGGTGCACAGGGTTTTGGGAAACAAATACCTTTCCATGTCTCAGCCCCAACTTGCTGAGTTCATTTCAGCTTAATAGGGACAAGACGACTGCCAACAGCTTTGGACTTTTTCCTACCCGTTTAGCAATGCCTGTGGAAAGTATTTCTTCCCTGATAGCTCCAGGGGGAAAAAATGGTTCAATTCAATATAATGAACAATTGATATAAAACAGAAACCAACCTATCAAAATGGATACCAGTCATTAACAAACAAGTGTAGCCACTGTGCCAACACAAATGGATGCTGTGGCCAAGGGCAAGAGGTACCCTCACCTGCCAGGCCTGAAGTCAGGATTCAATCACTGGAACTGAATGTGAGGTCAGCTCCACCCAAATTTTATGGATTGAGGGTACAGGAAGGGTGGTTCCCCAAAGGAAAACCAAAGTGCTTTTACCAGAAGAAGGAGAGAGAGTTGCTGGGCAAAAAGAAAAAAAAAAAAAAAAAAAAACCAGTGTCCACATTAAGCATGCCGCTTCTTACTACACCTTCCAGATGCAAGGCAAAAGTAACCTAATAGCTTTCCAAACAATTTCCCCGTGGGGTTGTCACTCTCATCCATCTCCTCCTTTGACCAATATTTATAGAGCAACTACTCAACCACAGAAACTGGGCTAGGCTTTGGGAATTCCAGCATGTTTAAGAGACCCCTGAGAAGGTGGCAATAGTCCAGTAAGGAAACAGACATGCGCGCGCACACACACACACACACACACACACACACACACACGAGAAGGAAACGTGAGTGTGCCCAGACAGAGGCCTGAACAAAGTACTATGGTGTCACTTTATAGCAGAACACACTGGCTATACTTAAGAGAAGGAAGAGTCAGTCCCGGTCCTACCATTCTTCGAGTTGCTGAGGCTGATAGGGTCGCAGCTCTTGAAGTTGCCCTGTCTCGGCCCACAAGTTACGGGCAGAAACAGATGCAGACATAAAATCGCTGGCCTCAGCTCCTGGATCAGCAAATCGTCTTTGGCCTACAGCAGGACAGCTGCATTCAGCAAAACAGCACGATGCACGTATCTTGATATGTAACCCTAGATTCAGGCTTCTAAATATAAGAGACTGTTCTGGGCCACCAATTACAACAAAAAAAAAAGAGAGAATCTTGTAAGAGTTCATGCTCATGGGTTACAACCAATCCTTTAAAAATACTCGTGAATGTTGAATATTGAAGCCTGGGGGGGTTGCCCTATAAAAATAGGTCCCTGAACCAAGCAAGACACTTTGAATTCTGGTTTGGACAAGCACAAAGAAAGGCAGGCATAAAGATGACTCAAGCATCACTTATGCTTGCTGGAGAAGCCACAGAAAGAAGGACTTCCCTTTCTAATACATTCACTCATCATTCATTCATTCCAGTAGAAATCTGTTTATCAGGGGTCAGAAGAGGGAGGTAGAAAGATGCCTCTGTGCATTGCCTGAATGAGGCATCTGAGAGTTTCAACTGGAGTAGCTGTTTCAAATCTCAGATGAGCACCCAGTCAAATCTGCAATGACCTGGTCATGGCCTTCATCTCTCTTCCTGTCGCAGTGTAGACTTTCTTAGTTCACACTCACACACTGGTTCACTGACACACCCAAGCTGTCTGCTCTTGGCACTGTGACCAAGTTTACTCCCCCAGGTGACATGGAATTCCGTGCACGGGGACTAGTTGTACTTTGGAGTGAAAGCACTGGAACTCATAAAAAGCCAAATCTTGCCTGTATAAAAATGGCCTGATCATCCCCAAGAAAGAGGACCTAACACACATCTAGAAGGAAGGTAAATCAGTATTTCTTGAGCCATTACCAAAGCTCACCTAAACAGTTATAGTAGCTTTCTTTTTTTTTCTTTGAGATAGAGTTGTGCTGTGTTGCCCAGGCTGGAGTACCGTGGCACAATCTTGGCTCACTGCAACCTCCACCTCCCGGGTTCAAGCGATTCTTCTGCCTCAGACTCCTGAGTAGGTAGGACTACAGGTGTGTGCCACCACACCCAGCTAATTTTTTGTAATTTTGGTAGAGGCGGGGTTTCACCATGTTGGCCAGGCTAGTCTCAAACTCCTGGCCTCAAGTGATCTGCCCACCTCAGCCTCCCAAAGTGCTGGGACTACAGACATGAGCCACCACATCAGGCCTACAGTAGCTTTCTTACAGGGCTCTCTGGTATAACAACTATTGCAAACTTAATGACTTTAAACAACCCACATTTATTATATTGCAGTTCTGGAGGTCAGAAGTCTAAAATGGGTGTTGCTGGACCAAAATCAAGATGATGGCAGGGGTGGATTCCTTTCTGGAAGCTTGTAGAGAGAATTCCTTTTCTTGCCTTTTCCACCTTCTGGAAGCTATTCACATTGGTTGACTCAGGACACCCTTCCATCTTCAAAGTCAGCAAAGTCGTCGTTTACTTACTTATTATTTTCTTTGTATCTAGCTCCTCCCCTTAAGATGTCTTTTTCACACTGCATCTCTTTTGCTCTGACTCCTTTTCCTCTCTCTTCCCACTTAAGGACCCTTGTCATCACTTTGGGTCCACCTGAATGATCCAGAATAATCTTAATTTAAGGTCAGCTGATTAGCAAGTTTAATTCCATCTGCTCCCTTAAGCCCTCTTTGGGTTAAGCCTCCCGTAACCCAACATAGTCACGAGTTCCAGGGATCTGTATGGAGATATCTTTGGGGGAGCATTATTCTGTCTACTACATCCTGCCTGCACAGCACATCCATTCAGTTAAAACACACACACAGCAGCCAGGGTTATCTCACAACCTAGACTTAATCAAGCCATTCCTCTGCTGAAATCCAGCCCACACACCCAGTGATTGCCCGTGGCATTAAAACTCAAACTTTTTTTTTTTTTTTTGTAGAGATGAGCGTCTTGCTATGTGGCCCAGACTAGTCTCAAACTTCTGGCTTCAAGCAATCTTCCTGCCTCTGCCTCCCAAAGTGCCAGAATTATAGGTGTAAGCCACCATACCCAGCCTTTAAAATCCAAACTTTTTTTGTGTGTCCTTGAAAAGGTCTTTATTATTAAAAGCTGGAAGGTCAGCTGGGTGAGGTGGCTCATAATCCCAGCACTTTGGGCGGCTGAGGCAGGTGGATCACAAGGTCAGGAGATCAAGACCATCCTGGCCAACATGGTGAAACCCCATCTCTACTAAAAATATAAAAATGTTCTGGGCGTGGTGGCATGTCCTGTAATCCCAGCTACTTGGGAGGCTGAGGCAGGAGAATCACTTGAACCTGGGAGGCAGAAGTTGCAGTGAGCTGAGATCCCACCACTGTGCCCCAGCCTGGCAACAGAGGGAGACTCCATCTCAAAAAAAAAAAAAACAATGTTGGAAAGTCAGTCTTTAACTCCCAATCACAAAATGCTACTTTGCCATGACAAGCAGGCTTTGTAGTTAAGATAGTGTTTCTTTTTTTTTTTTTTTTTTTTTTGAGACGGAGTTTCGCTCTTGTTACCCAGGCTGGAGTGCAATGGCGCGATCTCGGCTCACCGCAACCTCCGCCTCCTGGGTTCAGGCAATTCTCCTGCCTCAGCCTCCTGAGTAGCTAGGATTACAAGCACGTGCCACCATGCCCAGCTAATTTTTTGTATTTTTAGTAGAGACGGGGTTTCACCATGTTGCCCAGGATGGTCTCGATCTCTTGACCTCGTGATCCACCCGCCTCGGCCTCCCAAAGTGCTAGGATTACGCCTGTGAGCCACCGCGCCTGGCCGAGTTAGTGTTTCTTTTGTAGTTAAGACCAGCATTTCCCCTTGTTGACCAGGGATCAGGAAACTATTCTTGTCATTTGCTCTTTCATCCTTGATAGGTGACATCAGTACATTTTCCACAACTTTATTCTTCATTTCTTCTTCCTTCAGAATAAAAGACCATACCAAGGACACTAACAAGTTGATGGTCCCCTAGATATGGGTTCTAGTGCCAGCAGGTCTGTTCTCCTCCTCAGTGTCAAAAGGACTGTTCATTCTGAAGCATCTACTCTTTTGAACTAAAATCTAAACTTTCTTTTAAGTTCCGGGATACAAGTGCTGAACGTGCAGTTTTGTTACATAGGTATACATGTGCCATGGTGGTTTGCTACACCTATCAACCCAGCATCTAGGTTTAAGCCCTGCATGCATTAGGTATTTGTCCTAATGCTCTCCCTCCCCTTGCCTCTCACCCCACGACAGGCACCAGTGTGTGATATGCCCCTCCTTGTGTCCATGTGTTCTCTTTGTTCAACTCCCGCTTATGAGTGAGAGCATGTGGTGTTTTAATGATGGCCCACAAAGCCTTACATGATCAGACCCTTGGCTGCCTCTCTGATCTCGCCTTCTACCTCACCCCCATTCCACTCTGCTGCAGTCACATACTGGCCCCAAACATGACAAGATCATCCCAGTCTCAAGGCCTTTGTGTGTGCCGTCTCCTCCATTCATAACACCA